AGAATTAGGGATGACATGTCCTCTGCTGCCCTCAAGTATCCATCCCCACAAACCCTGGGACTTTTATTCAGTATTCCAAATACACAAAATGGCAGAAAATCCTGGATCATCTGGCCCTGTATGCATCCAGGGTCTGGTTGATACATGAAAAGATGGTATCAACTCGGCTAAAATGTTATATGTGCTGGTGAGCTACATTGAACTGTGGCCCCCAAAGATGCACGTCCCAAACTTCAGCATACAGTGATGTTTAGAAAAATCTCTGCAAACATATCATAGTTAGCATCCTGCAAGTGGACCCAATAGGATTCTTTGTTGGGTAGAGGGATGGGCAAGTCAAGAACACAGAGAGATGATGCAAATGCCAGGGATAGATATCAGAGCAATGAGGCCATAAGCCAGGGATTGCCTGGCTTATGCAGGGAGTATATCCTGAGGTGAGAGTATCCTCCCTGAGAGCCTGAGACAGCACAGTCCTACCTGTACCTTCATTCCAGGCCTTGGCTGCCAGGACTGCGATCAAGTATTATCTGTTATTTGAAGTGACAAGAATGTAGCCACCCTCTTTCTACCCCTTGATCTTCCTGTAGAGAGGCTCCTGGTCCAGATGGACCTGCCTTGCTTCCCTGTGCCTTCTGAGTGGGTCTCGCCATTGATGCTCCAGCAGGAGAACAAGATAAGGAATGAGAGGTCAAGTCTCTCCACAAAGCCAGGAGACATGCACACACACACACACACACACACACACACACACGGCTGCAGTTCCTATGAAGAACCCCTGTACATAGCTCCCCTCCAAGTAAGGCGTGTCCCTTCCGTGTCCTCAGGTCTGTGGAAGGTTGCATGTTCCTCCTACACCAGCCCAGGCACATTCAACTGGCTGTGACTTTCCTATCTGCTGCCCTGTCTTTATAAGCAACCTTTTACACCTTCCTTAGTAATGAGGGGCCACTTGTTCCCACAGGGCTATGACTGACAGGCATTGTAGATGAAGAGTGACAGTTACATGGGCACAATGTTGTATTATACCATTTGCTATTAGGTATGCTCGAATTTCTTTATGACAAGGGATGAAAAAAAATACATGAGAACAGATTTCTTTTCCCTGGAAACAGAAATGGCAGTACACCACTGGACATCCCAGCCTGACGGGATGTCCTAATGCCTGCAAGATAGCTGCTGGAGTACTAGCCATCATACCTGAATTCTGCACGGCACGAAGAAATGGCTCCTGTCTCTCATAGGGTCATTCTAGGTGATTCTGTTCAGAGCCCTCGGTTACACCCGGCGAACTCAGACTGTGGATACACAGCATGTCATTTAGACGCATTGCCTCCCTAAGCAAAGCCACTCTTCTGTTGACAAGGAAGGAGAGAGTAGATACTTGACAGCCGTGTGCAATTAGCATTCCTTGCCCGGGGCCAAGAACTCGTTATTGCAAATCTCAGACCCTGTGCCCTCACCGGCACAAAGATCTAGCCAAGGCTGAAAAAGGTGTAAGAGGTGGCTGAATTGCTGGCCATCACAGAGCCTAGAGACCTTGTGTGGCTCACCAAGCTTGACAGAGCTCGAGTAGAGAGTTGTCACCTGTGACCTGCCTGTGCTGGAGTGGCACACTTCATAACTCACATGGCTTAGCTTGTCTCAAGTGAGTTACTACCAGGTGTGTCCAACCTTTGACATTTTCACATAACATTGTCATCTACAAAATTTATGCCCAAGAAACTGCACAATCAAGTTATGGGGAGAAAAAAATCTCAAAAATCTTAAGATTTTAACTTAATGTTGTGATTTTGTGTTCGGCTGCACTGATAGATAGATACCTCTGGCTCTGTGCAGCACAGAGGTTGAGCATGCTCCATAGCTAGCCTCTCTCACCACAACCCAGCCCAAACTGGTATAAACCACAAAGACAAATTATTTTAGAGGTAAGATGGTGGCACAGTGTGGAACCAAGGCATGAGGCTAGAAGAAACTGCCACATCTGAGAATGGAAAATCTTGTTTGTTTGTTTGTTTGTTCTGAGATAGGGTCTCAGTATGCTAACTATGTAGTCCTGGCTCACTGGGATTAAATGTATTTACCCCTCCTCACTGGCCCTGAGAAAGCTTTCACTTCCCTCTGTCTCTGTCTCTGTCTCTGTCTCTGTCTCTGTCTCTCTCTCTCTCTCTCTCTCTCTCTGCCAAGTACTTGTAGATCAGGTGTGAGCTCCCAGCCACTGCTCCAGTACCAAGCCTGTCTGCACACTGCCATGCTCCCTGCAGTGCTGGTCACGGACCAACCCCCTGAAACTATAAGCCCCAACGACCTTTCTATATGAGTTGGTGTCTTCACAGCAATAGAAGAGTGACAGGGAATTTTCATGTCTTGAACCTGTATACAAATTTGCAGAGTTTGCCCCTGGCTTCCTCATTCACATATGAAGTGAAACTTCCAGTAATTCCACTTGCATAATATTGTTGATAACACTTGGAATGTTTAAAGATTTGTTTTATTTTTATGTGTCTCTGTGTGTACCTGAGGACAGGTGCTGCTGGGAGCCAGAAGAGGGTGCCAGGTACCCTGGAGCTGGAGTTAAAGGAGGCAGTGAACCACCGATGTGGGTGCTGGGGACCAGACCGGTGTCCTCTGCAAGAGTAGTATGCATTCTTAACCCCTGAGCCCTCTGTCCAGCCCCAGCATTTGGAATTTTATGTGTGACATACTCTTTACCCTTTGGATTGGGGGAGTGGGTGAGACAAAGAGCCCAGCACGGCAGCCGGTCAACAGGTCCACAGAACACACCTCACACAGCGTGCGTGTGCGTCGTGATCCTGTGTGGCCATGACCAAGAGAAGCAGAGCAGGGCTATGAAATCTTGCCTTTTGTCTGCACATCGGGGCCCAGGGAGAAAGGATCTGCTTTTGCTGTGAAGTTTTCTCTAATGAAAATTCAGAAGTTTTGTTTTTGTTTTTTTTTTCCCCATTTACAAAGCTGTTGGGTTGTTTTGAAATTATCTTGAGCAAGGACGATTTGCATGAGGTGTATGTGAGCCAATTTCTCCACTACCCTCTGTCTTGTAAAACACACACGCACACACATACAGAGAGAGAGAGAGAGTTTCTCTTCTCTCCAGTCTGACAGTTGTAACACCTTCCAGACAGTTTCTGAGACACTTTCAGACCTTGCATTTAGAGACCAAAACCTTTCTTCCCCAAACCCCTACTTTGTGATTCAGACTTTGGCATTCAGGATAGCTACTCTATCTGCTGGGCATTCAAAGGCCTCTTCTGAAGTCCAATATCAAGAACTTGACTCTAGGGTCTGGAGAAGTCAGCTCAGCTCAGTGATTAAGAACATGTGCTGCTCTTTCAAAAGACCTGAGTTCAGTTCCTACCACAAACATTGGAGGCACACAACCATCTGGAAATCCAGCTCAATGCACACACATGCACTTACCCACAACATACACATAAATTTAAAAAAATGAATCTTAAAAAAATAAATAAAAACAGAAACTGACTGGTATCAAACTGGGCACTGCCTACCTCAGCTCTCAACTGCAGAAAACTTGTGAGTAGGAATTTTCCAGTTAACCACACTCAGGTGTGAGGGTACACTTATGCAGAAAGTACCCAAGTCAATGTTGGTGCATTATCCTGAGCCCAGAAGTAAACAGATGTTTGCACATGCACCGTAACACAGTAGGATAGCCTATGAGGTCTGTCCAGAAAAAAAGTTTAGTCTTATCTTAGCATTCATTGATCAGAAGCTCTGCCATGATATTGTCAACAGGCTATGGTCCTGTGTCATGCAACTTACATCTGTGTGTGTGTGTGTGTGTGTGTGTGTGTGTGTGTCAAAGGCCAGAAGAGAGTATCAGATCCCCTGAAGCTAAAGTTATAAGTGATTGTCAGAAGTAGGTGTTGGAAACTGAATTCAGCTTCTTTGTAAAATACAGAACATAATCTTACCTACCAAGCCATTGCCCCTGCCTTCTGGCACTCATTTTAAAAACATTTGTACATTTATTTTATATTATGTGCATGTATGTCTGTCTCTTAGGAGGTCAGAAGATGTCAGATCTCCTGGAACTAGAATTACTAACTGTTGTGAGCCACCATGTGGGTGCTAGGAATCAGAGGTTAGTCCCCTGCAAGAGCAGCCAGTGCTTTTAACTGCCCAGCCTTGTGAATTTCATGTTTTAATGTATAAGAGCAACTTTAGTATTCATTTTTAATGTGTAAGAGTAATATTGGATGGTAGACCTCTTTAGAAAAGATCCCAATGTCCAGAACCTTCCAACACATACAGCAAAATGCTGACTCACTCCAGACTACCATGAGGGCATTCAGAGGGAGCATGTGTCTATGTATAATCAATATATTTTAGTTTACTGTTTCCCAGGGCTGTGTTTCACCTCAAGCAAAGGGACATTTCAGGCCACGAAAAGTCACATTCTCTCTTACACTGAGTTCTTAATTTAGGAATGGCAAAGTTTGAGATGCTGATCAATGCAACGTGCTGGCGGAGAACTTGAACTACGAATGAGCATCCGATGGAGAAAAGGTAGGCTGTGACCTTAAAGGCTAAATTAAAGCCCAGTAAAACACTGTTCTTGGCATGAAAAGATATTTGGTGACTATACAAAGCAGGCTGCCTATAGCCGAAACCAGGATCTCAGGATCTCAGTTCTGTGTATCTCAGTGGCTGCTGCCGCCACAGCCAGGGCATCCTCTACACGCACCAGTCCCTTCTTTCCCAGTTACAGATTCCAACTTTCCTACTGGACCCAGGAGTTTGTATTTCTCAGCTTCCCCTTGCAGCTATATGTAACTACGGTATACGACCCAAAATAAGAATTGTCTTCAAGACAAGGATAGGTATCTTTGTTCTTGCCTAGAATTCAGGTATAATGGCAGAGTATAAGCAGCCTCTTCACACCATGAGCTAGTAATGGTCAGCTTGATGAGGGGGAGAACGAACAAGATGAAAAAAGAAGATGGAAATAGACAACTGGATCTTCCCAGTGAGTTTTATTACTTGAGAGGGAAAGAATTGTTTCCTCTAGTGTTTAAACCACTACTCATTTTGAGATTTTTCTTGCGCACGCATGCATGTGTAATTGTGCTGGGAACTGAACCCAGGACCAATAGAAGACTAATTAGTGCTCTTTACCACTGAGCCATCTTTCCAACCCCTGAAACTGTCTCTCTGGGAACCTGTAGCTAGTCTGATGGTCAGCGAGCCTCCTCTCTAGACTTCCCAGAGCACTGTGTTTACATATATGCATACTTATATGTAATGGGGCGGTGAAATAACAACTTCCTGAGTTAAAATATTCCATTCTAGAAGGAGGCTCTTACAACTCAGGAAGCAAACAACTCACAAGTCTCAAGAAGACCCTGAAACGAAACAGAGGCACAAAGCTTCCCCTTACCCAAGGTGGTGTGGAGACCTCATGCAGAAAGGCACCCATCCTGGCCTTTGCAGTAAGCTATCGTCCACACTCCTCTAAGTAACCCTGACAAACTCACTGATTCACCAAGTTGGTGGTTCTTGTATCTTAGTCTGGCTTCAGTTCCCTATCTGGGGTGAGTAATTTGTTTTCCAGGAAAGTCACAGGACAGTGGCCATACCTGGCTTTTTATGGAGGTGCTAGGATCTAAACTCAGGTCCTGATGCTTACTTGGCAAGTGCTCTTGCATACTGAGCATCTCCCCAATTCATACTGTTTATTTTTGTTTGGTCAGACACAATGTCCCCAGAATCCTCCTCAATATCCCTGATAAGTTAGTCCCTCTGATGAGCATTTAAAACACTTTAAGTACTACTACGGTTAGAGGGATGGCTCAGCAGTTAAGAGTATCTACTGCTCTTGCAGAGGACTGGGATTCAGTTCCAAGCACTTATACAGACAGCTCACAGTCACTTGTAACTCCTGCTCCAGAGACTCTGATGTCCTCTACAGTGCTCTGCAGGCTTCCGAATGCATATTCACCCATGCAGGCTCACATATATACACATAAATAAAAATAAATCTAAATAAGTAAATAATGTGTTGTTCGGACCGTAAAGCAGAATTGCAGTTGGAAAAAGAATCAGGAAGTGATGGGGTTGACAAAATGGGGGTTAGGGAGTACAGCAGTTGTGCTGAGAACCATCCGTACTGACAACCCAGCTGATGGCACTTTCTGGAGAGGCTGTGGAACCTTGGGGTTAGAATCTTGGCCAATGGAGGGGGCCACTGAAAACATGACTCTGAAGATAATGGTCTTGCACAGCTTTCCCATCCCAGCTCTCTGATCAGCCAAAGTGTGAATAAGGTAGGCCAACGCTCCCACTGCCACAGACAGAGCCACCGCAGCCTCCATGGTAGACTGAATGCCTGGCAACATGAGCCAACCTCCCTTCGGCTGCTTCTGTTAGGGATTCTGTCATGATGAGGAGAAAGGATACGAGTACAGAAAGTTGATTATACCCCAGTCTGTGAGGGGCTGACTTGCTGAAACTCTCATGAGTGAAGCAAAGCAGTAATAAGAACAGCAAGAGCCAGGCTATGTACGGATCTAGTCATGCCTGAGCAGAAGCACTCTGGAAAGCATCTTGTGGTCTGGTCACATGGTTATTCCTCATTTACCTGTTTGTGTGAAATACTTGGTTCTGTGTGCATGATTTCAACTATAGCCACATTGACTAAGTTTGTTCAATGTAAGAGACTTAGCCTCTCCTCTTTCAGAGACTCGCCCTTGGAACCAATCGCAGCCCAGCTTTTCTCAGAATGTCCTCACTTTCCATAAGACAGTGGTCGCTGGACCAGTGACATCACTCAGCAGGTAAAAGTGTTTCCCATGTAAGCCTGCCAACCCGTGTTCAATCACCAGAACTCACAGTGGAAGGTGACAATCAACTCCTAAAAGTTATCCTCTGACCTCTATATACACACAGTGACATGTCTGTCCACGCTTAACATACCTACATATCTACATACCAACTCACAATAGTTGTAGTAGTAGTAATTAAAATTGTCTTTGGCTTTGAAAGATCCTGTCCCCTTGCTGGACATGGTAGTGCATGCAAGTGGGTCTCTGTGAGTTCAAGTCCAGCCTGATCTACATAGCAAGTTCCAGCCCAGCCAGAACTATATAGGGAGACCCCCATTGAAAAATAGATCCTGGGTCCTAGACAGACAAACTTTGTGACTTAGCAAAATGATCTCAGGCTGTTCTTTGGATCCAGGCTGATCTCTCAAGGCTTCTGAAACGCTCATGCTGGGAAGCCATTTGAGTGCATAAATTGTTCAAAGTCGGGATTGGGGCTACTGTTTTCAGTGGCTGTTATTGGGTGGAGACCTTTCCCAGTATTTTAGCCCCTCTTGGCCCCACTGATGCTCTAAAGCAGTGGCTTTCAACCTATGAGTCTTCACCTCATTGGGGGGCCAAATGATCCTTTCATAAAGGTGCCCTAAAACTATCAGAAAACACAGACATTTACATTGTGATTCAAAATAGTAGCAAAATTACAATTATGAAGTAGCAATGAAAATAATTTCATGGCTGGGGTCACCACAACACGAGGAACTGTATTAAAGGGTTGCCGTATTAGGAAGGCTGAGACCCAATGCCCTAAAGGGATATAAGGGTGGGAGTGATGAAGTGAGAATGGAGTGGGAGAAAGGAGGAAGAAAAGATGTTACCAAAGTGTTTGCTGGAAACATGTGCCCCCAAAGTTTGAATATTTTGCTGGGTGAAGTGGGGATGCTTTTTGAGAAAGGCTAATATATCCCAGGCTGGCCTTGATCCTTCCTATGAAGCCAATATTGGCCTTGAAATCCTGATACCCCGCCCCACCCTCCGACCTCCTCCAAGTACTGAGAAGTATAAAGTTGTGGTTCACTGCACCCAGCCATGTGTTGGGACCATTTCTTGGGGGTGACAGGTGGTGCCAATGGAAAAGTACTCTAAGAGGTTGAGGCCAGTGCTTGGGGAAAGGAGTCCTATGAGAAATAGGTGTCCTACAGAAGTGAAATTCCAGCTCCCCTTCCACATGCACTCTCTGTACGTCTCCAGCTCTGCTCTCCGGCCATGGGACTGTGAGTTCAGGCTCTTGCCCGATGCAAGAGCTGCTAGCCTAACCCACTAACCAGTCCATTTCTGTGCCTCATGCATTACCTGGCCCACCGTGCTCAGCCACAGCAGCACACAGTAGGCTGAGACCTGTCCCCGAGCTGATAGGGAGCTCTGGATAAGTGAGAAGGCGAGTTCAGTCACCAGGAACCCTTCTGAGGAGCCCACGAAACAACTCAGCATTTCTGTCAAAGGCGAGGCATTTAAGTGTTTGAACATTTGCAAACCTCCCCGCTGGCCTGCGTGGTAGTGAGGGTGTCTCCCACACAGAGGTCTGCAGCAGCCCAGCCCACAGGCTTACTTGAAGGGAGAGCTGCACTGTACCCCTCTGAGGAGATAGAATCTTTAGAGTTACTGCTACTGTGCCGTCTTTAGGTCATTATCTGCCCTTGAGGGGGTCCTGGGACCACTGCCTCTGCCTTCTCTTTCACTTCCCAGCCATGAGGGGAGCAGTTTTGCTCTGCCAATCATTCCTGTCACGATGCATCCCTGCCACAGGCGCAGAGCAGCAGGGCCATCCAGGTGTAGACTAGAACCTCCAGACTGTGAGCCCTCAGACACCCTTCCTCTTTATCTGTTGCTACAGTGTCTGTTACAGAAAGTGAAAAGCAACCGTCACACTTTAGTCTAAGTTCACATCAAACTCCTCTGGTCAGACGCTTGAGTATCGAATTTGTTTTCTTGGATACCATGGCATGGAGTGTGGGGTTACTGTTCCATACAAGAGGTGCTGTTTTGTATGGCTGATGGCGACATGCTTTATTGATTAAGAATCCTCCCTTTCCCAAAGCGCACAGTTGCAGAAGATGTAAGCTTAGTGAGGCTGGCATAGTGGAGGTCAGGCAGTGATGTCATCACCAGGCAAAAGAGGGGCGTGCATTCCAGAGCATCCACTTCTGTGACACCTGCCCTTTAAATTCCACTTTGTAAACACTGACACCAGACCTCTGCAGACCTCTCCTGAGATGGTTTGGAACTCTGGGCTCAGAGGAGCTGCCTTCCACTATTTCCTCCCTCTCCTCATGCCCAGAGAGTTAAGACCCCAGCACAAACCAGGGTCCAAGGAAATGGGCTCATTCCTCAGTGGGCCTCCAGATGCTTAGAGCTCAAGAAGGGCAGGATTGCTGCTGCCTCCTTTGTAGCCTTCATGAAAGTGACTATGCTGGATCTGAGGTACAGAATATAAAGCTGAATTACACCCTACAGAATTGTGTTCTACTCTTATCCCTGAAGCTCTGGGATAAGTTTGCTTCCTCCCATCCTGCTTCACTTAAAATGAGATGTTGCTGATTCTATTTATTTTTTTTTTTTAAAGAAAAGCAGATGGCCCAGGATTTGCCTTTAGAGTTGGAGCAAGGACAATATGGGTTCTGACTCCTCCTCAGTTTCCTCTAGAGCCTGATACTTTCTTTGCATGGGTGCCTCTTAGCCCCATTTTTCTTCTCTTCTCCTCCAAGCTGCTTGCTTTAGCACAGGTGACCATTCCATGTCCTGCTTACAGTAACAACCCTTATTGGAATTCAACAAGAGCTCTGGAGGCACAGAGTGCTGGTGTGGGGAGAACCCATCAAAAGACTCCCAGACTAGACTGCCCTCCCTGTGCTTCAGTGACCCCCACCTCAATAGACCCCCACCATTGTATAGAGTCTTGTAACTCAGTCAATACTTGTCCTCAGTTCCCTAGCAGAACATCCACACTGAAGTCAAGGTCCCAGACCCCATCATGGGGGCCAGGCAATCGTCTTCCAGGCTTCCTGTGATGTGATGCAGGTGGGCAGGGCCTACAGGGCAACCTGGCCTGCTTTGGAAAGCATGCTCATCTCTCAGGTGCACCAGTGAGGAGTGACAAGTCCTGACACAATCCATTTACAACCCCTCCAGGGCTTATTGGCATACCAGCCACAGCCTGGGGCTGTGAGCCTGGGGCCTCACATTCCCCATCAGATCCCTGTGATGGCTTTTAGATGAAGATCATAGCGAAGAATGCTGCCAGCTCCACTCAGTTGACAGCCCTGGCCTTTTAGTTTCTTCTTCGTGAACTGGCAATGATAGGCAAAGGTCACTCTGAAGGCAAGGGAAGGATCTACACTGTGGCTGCTTAAAAATAAGCATCTATAAATTGCAAAAGCAGTTCTTGGAACACTCCCCCAGACGCCCCTGAGATGTACTTCATGCCCTGCACAGAGCTTCAAACCTATCTGGGACTGAGGCATAAGCAGTTTTCAGGAGTGAGCTACAAGCTCATTCAGGACTGAGCTGTAAGCACTTCTGGGACTGAGTCATAAGCACTCTCAGGAGTGAGCTATAAGTCTATCCAGAACTGAGCTGTAAGCATTTCCAGAACTGTGTCTGCCACACAGCAGAGTTGGGCATGGATGTGTTCCTGGGGAATCTAGGATTCCCGTGGTCTAGGACTAGATCCCATCTCTTGTAGTCTGCTCAGATCTGGACACCTGATGGTCCTGGTGGCAGGTGTGGCAAGTGCAGACTTCCAGATTTAATCCTCCACTCGCACCTCCAGCTTCCTGACGAGACGCTGGTACGTGTCTCTTTCCACCTGCCAGGAGTGATGTGTCCTCACGTATTCCCTTCCATTGGTCACGATTTCCTTCTCCAGTGTGGGATCACTAACCAGTCTCTTTGCCAACTGAATGAACTCCTGAAAGACAGGAAGTGGGTGAGAAACACGAATGAGTGCTGGGTGGAGGGAAGCCTGGGGACCCGTCTGAAAGCCTGTGTCTGTACCAGCTCCTGCTCTCCCCCTGTCAGCCTCACAGCCTGAAGAAACACACTTCAGGGAGATGGGAGAGGAAATCAGAATAGTAGAAGCATTGGAATTAAGAAACTATATAGCCAGGTGCGGTGGTGCACAGCTGTAATCCCAGGACGTGGATCTCTGTGAGTTTCAGGCCAGCCTGGTCTATAAAGTGAGTCCAGGATAGCCAAAGCTACACAGAGAAACTCTGTCTCAACAAACAGACAACAACAAATAAAAACAAAAACCAACAACAAAAAGAAACACTACATATATCAGGTGGGGAGATGGCTCAGTGGATAAAAATGCTTGCCACTAAGTTTAATAGCCTGAGTTCAAGCCTCAGGACGCATATTGACTCCCACAAACTGTCATTTGAACTTCTTTCATGTGTATGCTGTGGCATGTTTACACCCACACCCATACACACCCACACCCATACACACACACACACACACACACACACACACACACACACACGATGGTGCCATGTCTACAACCATGTACTCATGCCATTCTCATTGCAGCTTTGCAGTGACCTGTACCTACAAGAAGCAGCACACACACAAACACACCCACCACAGATCTGGGCCTATAAACACCTGCTGTGAACATGCACGGAAGACCCCAGAGCTGTCAATCATGCTTCCCCGCAGCCTTCCCTGTTTTCTGCAGTTACACAGCACATGATCAAAGTGCTGACAGTAAGTGACTCAGCCTTAAATGGGAAGCTCGTAAGGCACCCTTCAGGCTCAGGGAACACTGTGTGGGGTGTTAGCCTTGTGAAAGCTGGGGGAAGGGGGCTGGTGTTGTGGAATGCTGCATCTGTGACCTACCCACATGTGACTGGGCCCATTGATATTCTGTCATGGATTGAGGCTGCTCAGGAGGCCTCACCTCTTCCTGAGAATCTAGAAGAGGTTTTTTGTTTGTTTGTTTGTTTTTTCATTTATTTGCTTATTTATTTACTTACTTACTTACTTATTTGATCATTTTACAGCCCCCTCCATCTCCTCCTCCCATTCCTACCCTCACACCCTCTCGCTCCATTTCTCCCTCTCTTTCTTCTCAGAGAAGAGGAGGCCCCCAAGGGGGTGCCAACCCACTCTGGTACCTCAAGTCGCAGCAGGACTAAGTGTGTCCTCTCCCAATGAGGCCAGACAAGGCAACCCAACTAGGGGAAAGGGATTCAAAAGCAGAGTCAGAGATATCCCCTATTCCCCTGTGGGACATTTTATTTTATTTATTACTATTATTATTATTATTATTATTATTATTATTATTAGTGCTTAAGGCAAGAGGACCCAACCCACTCTTGGCGCCACCCTTGGATGTTATAAGGAAAGCAGGCTGAGCAAACCATGGAGAGCAAGCCAGTAAGCAACTTTCATCCTGGTGTCTGCTTTAGTTCTCACCCCCAGGTTTCTGCCCTGTTGGAGTTCGTGGCTTCCCCAATGATGGACTGTGCTCAGGATTTAGAAGCCAAATGAATCTTTTCTTCTCCAAGTTGCTCTTGATTATGGTGTTTAATAGCAGCTAAAGTAAGAAAGATACTTTCTTCAGTAGTGTAGCCACCGGTAAGGAGTCCATGCTCATGAAAATAAGCACTAACTCACATGGAAGAGGGGCAGGAGAGAGGGAGAGGGAGAATAGGGACTCATCGGGAAAAGAACCAATGAGACTGAGGGAGAGGCAAGAGAGTGTGTGTCAAGTATGGTCGGAAACATTAAATATACATGAAAATGTTGCAACAAAACCTGTTAGTATATATAATTAACATATGCTAAAGAAAGATCTTTAAAAAAAAAATCCTGTCTCCTTTCTTTGCAGTGACCTAGGAGTCCTAATTTCTTCCCTCCTTTATGGCCACAGCCAGAGACCCTTACCTCAGACAACTCTGGACCCAGAGAACCCCTTCACACCATAGGCAATGCCTGGTGCAGAAGGAAGCAATGAATTCGGGCTCAAGTCTGTGTTCTGCACTGCTTCATTGTGGTGGTTTCGGACATGCTAGTTACCTCCTCTGGCCTCACACTGATCACCTGTGAATAAGCAAAGGCCACTGTCCCCTCGGGCCGCACGCACAGAGCATGGGAAGGTCCTGGGTTTTCGTTTTCTTGCCTTAGCTCCCGTAGCTTCCCTTCAGGACCATGTGCACATTATTAATTGATGCATCAAGAGGCTCCTGCTGACCAGCACTTAATTTCAAAGCCTTTCATAATTAGAAAAATTAAGATGTATTCTGATATCAAAGCTTGTTTAGGGAGAGGAAGGGAGCATTCATCATTTATCACACTTGCATGGGAGTGCGGAGCTAGGAGGTCTGGGTTAAGTTCACAAATTACCTTTCCTGAGGGAGGCAGAGAGGCTTACAGAGAGAATTCAACTGTCAACCAGAGCAGTGGTGGCAGTTGCTACAGAATCTCACGCTGACAGGGCTAGGGCAATGGCTCTGTCAGGGAAGTGCTTGCTTTGCAAAATGAGGACCTGAGTTCTATCCCCAACACCCATGGAAAAGATCTTCTTGTAGTCTTAGTGCCTGGGAGACAGAGACAGGCAGATCCCTGGGGCTCACTGGCCAGCCAGCCTCGCTTTCTTGTGAATTCTAGGCCAACGAAAGACCCTGTCATAACAAAACAAAACAAAACAAAACAAGCGACAGGCGCACCCTGTCTGGGGAACAGCAGCTAATGTCCTCTGGCCCGCACATGCACCCCAACGCCCGCATGTATACTTGTACCTACAACACACACACACAGATACACACCCAAGACTCTCCCTCAGAAACTCATACACAGTTAATTACTATTATTCTCTTACTCCCTTGGCTTGAGTAAATTCCATCTAGAAGACAGGGCCTGAGATTAACACACAGCACTTTACTGTCAAGAGGGAACGTCCACATATTCTCAGAATTATTGTTAATTAAATGTATGAATGCCTTTTATAGCTGGCAATATAAATAGCAACATTTACGTGGGTGGGATTTTATTTTTATGTATCATGTACACATTTTTCTAGCAAATTAGTATTCTTTTCACTGTAAAAACGTATTCACACTATGTGGGAGAACAACATTCATATTAAAATTATTCGAGGGGCTTAGCACTTGGGAATATTACTTTTATGATGTTGGCCATATCTGTGATTTATCTGATGGACTGGGCTGAAGCTGGGGCCCTTGCTTCCTACTGCTTCAGATTGCAGGGCAATTTTAGAACAAAATCCAGAATGATGGGGGATAGGCTCTGAGAAGAAAGCACTTACTCGTTTATCTATCTATCTATCTATCTATCTATCTATCTATCTATCTACTTACCTATCTATCTATTATTTATTTATTTTCTCAGCAATGTAATCTAGGAAAAAAAAGGGGGGGCTTGAAGCAAGAAAAATCAGGACTAGATAGCAGATATACCTTACAGCTGGCTTAAAGAGCACTGGGAAAGAGGGGGAAGGAAAAAAGAAAACTGGCCAGTAAGAAAGAAAAAAAAAGGAAGGAAGGAAACCTTACCCCTGGCTCTGCAGTGACTATCTACTGAGCCTGACTACTGTCCTATGGGTAGATGAAGCTCCTGACACTCATTCGCTCCCGGTCAAGGACTGTCTGCAAAGTCAGCTGCCACATGCCCTCCATATCCTCATGCAAAGGCCTGCTACCGCTCCTGTCGGAGTCCCCATCCCTGTAACTGCGGGTGGACAAAACCAAGCTTTTGCTTTCATCAATGTGATGTGTCAGAAGTTATGTTGTTTTGACTCGCAGGCAAAGCTTTGAAGAAAGAAACTAGCAAATTTTAGAAGTAAAATCTAGCTTTGGTGTCTGCTTCTTCTTTCTCAAGTCTCCTTGGAAAATGACACAGAAAGATGCTTGGGGCAGCCTCACTAAGGGTGAGATGCCAAGGACAGAGATGCAATGCCACTGCAAGAGGAGCGGAATTCTGGACCACCAGCCCCATTTCAGCTATAGTGGTCATTACTGGGCTCGCTGGGTGGACAGCTGGGCCAGACTGGACCAGCAAAGTGGCCCCATGGGACCAAGCCATGAATACCCAGGACTGCAGCCCAGAACTTACTTCCTCTTTCCTCCCAGATGAAACAAACAGCTTTTAATGTAATGTGGTCCAGGGAGAAGACTCGAGCCCAACACCCACGGATGGCTCTATCTGTCCACAATGGCTATGGATCTGTGGTAACCACACTACGGGGATGAGCCCAACCCACTCCCTGACTCAGGAGAAAAACTGCGACTCGCTCCCAACCAGCAGAAGCTAGCAAAGATCAGGGGCCATGGCAAAGGTCAGGAGCTATGATGCCCTGGACTGGTCCATACTCCATGGCCTCCTATAAATCCAGGCTATGTGTGAGACATCAGGCTATGTATCTGAAACCTACGAGGTGTCACCACACCACACAGACCAAAGAACTGCCAAGAGCGAAGGCCACAGAAAAAACATCTGTGGAGTGCACGCAGTAAATCAGGGCAGAGGCTGATCTGCAGTCAGTCAGCCTGGAGCAATCATGGGTTCTACACAGCTGTCACACCAGAGCATGCCAGAGTGCTGACCTAAACAGGTCAAGTGGCTTTGAGAGAGGGGCTGTCTCTAGGACCAATAGATACACCCTTAAAGCCATCAGTGAAAGTCAGAGAAGGTGAATACACTACGACAATTAAAATGAAAAAGAAAAGCATGTACAGGAACCCAGTTCTTCAGGGAGCTCAAAAGTGAGTGAGCATGGATGCCTATAAATCAGCCTTAGGAAAAGCACATGGCTCCCATCCCCCAGTGAGTAGCCAGTGGTGGCACACCCAGTTAAGTCCCTCAGAAACACAAAGGACACAGCCAGCTTAGCAAAATAATGGTGCAGAGCAGAGCTGCCTCCTGGGCTGCAAGTGTGCAGAGCTT